CTCTGGTGGTAGAGTGTCCTCCCTTCTCGAACTTCGTTCTCGCCAAGGGGCTTTCGCGCTCAGTCGACAAGCCCCTGTGCGTATCGTGACCGTACATGCGTTAATGCCGCCTGTCGGCACGGGTGAGTACTGATGCCACAAATAAAAAATGTTATGAGTTTTATTTTGACAAATCGTTCGTTTTGGCGACAAATCACCTTGTATATTTTCTACATTAATGTTTTGTACTTGCTCTTGGTTACTCGAATTGCATTTCATGAACGCAGAATAATTTGCGAACGTATAAATCACGATTTCAAACTTTTTGCCGTTCGTAAATATTAATAGTGACCAATCTGTTTGTATTTTAAAAAATTGTAACATGTTTCAATTAAATTAAAAAGAGAATAGTAAATAACTTAGTGTGTATTGCTGTTCATGACATAAATGCTAGAATGCTGTATGTAAATGATATGAAAATTAATATGCAAATTTATGCTAATTAGGCCGCCCACCAGCTATTTTAGATTGTGGAGAACACTGTAGTGTACGACAGAAAATTGTTGAACTTTACTTAAATTGGCTGTCGTGTAGTCAATTTGCACAACAAACTAGGGTGTCAAAAAGTACTGCAAATAATATATACACTAAACTTATTACTAGCGGTGATGTTTCAGCTGGGAAGCACGGACGAAAATATGGTAACAGAACATGCTTGACTGGCAATATTTTACAGCATATTGAATTTTATAAACTGCGACAGCCTAGTATTTATCCGCGTGAAATTCGGTCAAAGTTACGCCAAGATAATGTGTGCCACGATGTCCCCAGTTCATCCACGGTTTACTCGTTCACCACCTAAACATGACGAGGAAAAAGTTAAAACCTATAATTCAAGGCCGTAGGAACCGTACTGGCCATACCGGCTATGGCCGGACCACTTCTGCACGCCCCCTAGCAAACGTGGTCCATAGGCCCACATCAACATACGCCTCGGACCTATGGCCTTCGATGGATGGCCGGACCAAGTACTAGTAATTTTTGCTTCCTACGACCTTGTAATTGCTGCAAAGTTAACGACTGACATTAACGAACAACGAATGCTTGATTTTATCGATAACATTTCTGATTTTAGACCAGAACAGCTGCACTGGTTTGACGAGGCGTCTGTCATTCGTATTTAGTCTACTGGAAACCGGCGTTACGGGCATACAGAAAATGGTACACCGGCGACAGAAAT